TTTGTCATTTGAACGTCTTATCTTTTAAATTTAGAATACAATTGCTATTTTGATAATTTTTATTGAGTAGTTCCAATATATCTTCTGACATCATTTATTCCTGCTCTTGTAAGCGTGGATGAAATTTTTGATATCTTGAGAAAAACCCAACTAAATTGACTATTGAAAAAGGGATTTAGGATATGTAATTTACGGAAAAGTATTGGACTTAGATTTATTTTACCGGAACAATGTCATCATAGTCAATATTCAGTAGGTAGAGAAAATGTTTGGGCTTGTAAGGTGGGAGGGTAGGATAACTATATTTTATCATTTGTTGAGGCGGTCCTATGGAAATTAAATTTTATATTATTAGCTTATGATTTTATGATAATCTTGATAAGGCTCATGAAAATCTTTAGGTTTAGTCCTACATTAGGTAAGTAAAATATATATTGGTATTAAAATATTAGGTAATCTGTAGTCTTAAGCTTTTTAATTGGGTTGAACATGAATTTTGATGACTTTTGTATTTGGCCGACTTGGGAGCTGTTTAGCAGCATGAATTTAACTGGATTTAGCCATAAATTTCATAAATTCAGCCAAACATAAAAAATGTGAAATTTAAATCCTGCGCTCTATTAAACCGAGTATTATCTCTTTCAGTAAGTTATTCGATGTAAATCCAGATTACTAAATTCAATTTGCAGATAGATTTACTGGATTTATTTTGCCATGACTCTAAGCTTTTCTCCGTCAATAATGGATTTGATACATCCAGATTTACTGAATCTTATTTAACATAAATCCGTGAAGCAGGCAAACACCGCCTTATATTCCCTTTGAATTTACTCTTACAAATCTAATTTAAACTATGTTAAATGTTTGTAGTTTTGGCGCCTAGCCATGAGGTAATTACTGAATTGAATTGAGGAACCTGTAATTTTCAAACCATGTAGGTTTGTAGAATTTTAAATACGTTATAGGTCCTTAGTTATTGAGATAATAGTGCCAAAAAAATTAGCAAATATATTACTTCTGTTTTACTTATAGATGAGGGTTTAACTTGTTAATTGTAGAAATTCCGTGTGATTATTATGTGATAATAGAATACCATGTAAACTTAAATGTTATAAAATTAAAAACATGTTCTGTTGCATCAATCCAACTTAGGAAATTTGAAAACAAAGGTAACAATAGTCAACTGGAGATCGGCGGAAATGATAAAATCAAGACGGACATGACGAAACTAGGAAGTATAAAGTGAGTAATAAATAGATCAGGACCATGTAATATTTATTAAAGATATTATAATGGAAAATAGATTTGGGGCATTTGGACTTGTGCTTTTAAATGGATCAATGCTTTTAAAAGCACTCTTCCAAGCGTACTTCACGAGCAAAGTGAAGCAAAGCTCATGACTCTATCTTTAGTTCGTTAAAGCACTAAAATTAATTTGCCGATTTTTTTTTTGGGTAATTTTTAAGTTTTTAATTATTATAGCAAGTTATTCAAAATTGTTTGAAATTTAAATTTGTAGGTTCATTTCGATGTTTGCCTTCAAATTAGGAATTGTACCGCATTCCAATCTATTTATATGAACTTTTTAAAGTCATAATCTATATTTTATATTTTTAATAAATATACATATATATTAATAGTTTAATATAACATGTTAATGTTTTAGTTAATAAAAATGCCGCTTTGCTTTATGCTTTGTGCTTTGATTACACTGAAATAGATAAATAAATTTTAGGAAGATTTGCATACAAACCACAATTCTTATGTATTTACAATATCGAACTCCTATATATATATATATATGAGGCATTTACAATATCGAACTCCTATATATATATATATATATATGAGATCTCCTATATATATATATATATGAGGCACCTTAGGCATGAAAAGCTAAAATTGACTTTTTAACAGTTAAAAGTGGCATTTTTTATGTGATGAAAAATTTAAGTGGTATAAATGTAAAAAAAATAAAGTTTAGGTGTTGATATGTAAATACATCGGAGTATGTATGTAAATGGCCCATAAAATTAATGTCAAGGAAAAATGATAGAAGGTATAACTTGGATAGAAGTGTTGATAAACAAATTGCAGATAACCTATCTCTAACTGTTGGGATCAGGTTAATGTTGATTGTTTCATAGCATCCATCAGTTCAGTATTTACAGAGGAAGTTTGCTTGGCTTTATAAGTATTATGAGTCTGGAGTGAAAAGGAAATACAGCTATTTTGAAATTTTTAGGTGATTTATTAACTGAAAAATAAAATTTAAATAATTTATTCATGCATCTGAAATTCAACCTTTTTTGTTCATTTTTTTTTATTAATTCCAAAAATCACAAAATTTAAAGAACAATTTATCTCTGCAGCCTCATGGTTTCTTCAATTGCTCCCCTGCTGTGGATGTGCCGCCCAGCGATATTGAGCTGAAGGAGAACGCAATCTCGAAGCCAATCCATAATGGTTTGCTAAGTAAGATGTGAGGAAATGCTGCGAGCCAGCGTTATTTATCTAAAACATTCTGTTGACTGAATAAGTGCTCTTATAATGAATAATGTTGTGCTTTAAGGTGCTTCAACTACAGTCTTGCTTTGAAACTTCTTAATTACTGTTTGAAATTTTGAAAGTAATGAAATTAAATAAGTAGCTGTTTTATGAGTTTTGGTTCTTTTGTGATTATGATTATTTAAGTTGTTTTATGAGTTTTGAGAAGTTGATCATTTTCTTTTGTAAAAAACTAAGCAAATTACTTCGATCAAGTTCTCAAATCTATTTGCATATAAAGTTTAACAGGTTGTGCATCCTTATCTATAACTGGTATTATGAAATTTCATTTTTCATTCATTTTTAATAGCGCATATATATATATATATATATAAATTATTATGATTATTTTAAATGCATTACATGAGTTTTACAATAAACCTAGCATGCCTATGTTTTCCCTTTCATTATATGTTCAAATCAACTTAATTTATTGTCACTTTATGGTTAATAAATATAATACTAATATTTATAATATAATTATCCTTTACCATATTTTTATAATGGATGCCTAAACAAGGTTAATTATTGTTTATGGTTGGTGTTAGTTTTATTTGTGATTATAACCGTTGGTTTTAATGTTAATGATATATGCGGTTGGCATCTTGCTTTTTTTTAATTGGAAGATTTATGTTTTCTTACATGTAACAATTATATTTCAATTTTTTTATATATGCCTTATTATTGATGATGTAAAAACTAAGATTTAGGTGTTAAGGCATGTAAATACAAAAGAATTAAGTAGTATTTATGTAAATTCCCCTTTTTAATTTTCTTCACTTAATAACAAGAAGGCCAAGGTCGTTAGCCCATTGGTCAGGCAAGAATAGGACGTCGCTTCAACCTTCCCCTTCTAGAATGCTATAGCTCCAGCGGCCAACACTGGAACAATAATCAAGCTGAACTGCAGCAGAGTACGCAAATACATAGCATATTGATTAAAAATAAAATAAAATTATTAAATTATTAAAATTTAAACGTTCGCCCTAGGGCTGTTAAAACAGCTCCTTGTTCGCGAATAGTTCGTTAAGAAGCTCTTGTTCGGCTCATTAGTGGAAGATTTATGTTTTCTTACATGTAACAATTATACTTCAATTTTTTTATATATGCCTTATTATGGATGATGTAAAAACTAAGATTTAGTTTTAATTTTCTTCACTAAATAACAAGAAGGCCAAGGTAGTTAGCCCATTGGTCAGGAAAGAATAGGACGTCGCTTCAACCTTCCCCTTTTAGAATGGAAAAAATATTACATCAATATTACACACGGAGAGTAATGTGCGTATTTAATGAAATCACGCCACAACACCCCACGCGACGGAGAAAAGAAAAAAGGCGCAGTAACACGGGGAATATCCCCTCAGGTGCTATTCATGTGTTATTGTGTCTTAGGAATATTCCTGGTGTTATAATAAAACAATAACACATCAATAACATGAATAAAACGCAATAACACCAGAATAACACAAGGGGGAATATTCCCCCGTGTTATCGCGTCGTTTTTTTCTCTGTTGGGAATATTCCCCATGTTATTTTAGTGTCATTGTTTGCTATTGTCCTGAGAACATTCTTGGTGTTATAATAACACGATAACACATCAGTAACACATGAATAACACACAATAACACATGAATAACACGGGGGGGAATATTTCCCATGTTACTGTCTTTTTTTTCTGTCGCGTGGGGTGTCGTGCTGATTTCATTGACTAAGCACATTACTCTACGTGCGTAATATTGATGTAATATTTTTTCTTTAGAATACTATAGCTCCAACGCCCAACATTTGAACAATAATCAAGCTGAACTGTAGCAAAGTACTCAAATACATAGCATATTAATTGAAAAAATAAAATTGTTAAATTATTAAAATTTAAACGTTCGCCCTACCTAAATTGAATTACCAGCTAATTTGATTGTATAAAGTTCATTGTTCTATGGGCAATTATATGCATTGCACTCAAACTTTGCAACTCACAAAACCATCAACCTCTTTCTATCCATATTTTTCACTCAAATATTAAAATTCACAACTAAACCGAACCTACTATCAAATTCACAATGATTTAATCGTGACGTGTACATGCACCATTTCACTAGTTCAAAAAAAGAAATAAAAAATACAGGTGCTAGTTTTGTAAATAGCCAAGTTTTGAGTGTTAATTATGTAATTATCCTTTTTTTAATTAATTTTATTGTACAAGTTTTATTTCTCCATTGCTGGGAAAAGAAAAACCTAAAAGGGCCATTTGCATGCATACCTACCCAATTCTTATGTAATTTATATATTTATACCGCCCTAGTCTTATATATCACAAAAATACCACTATTTTAACTTTTAAAAAGTAAAATACACCATTTCATGCATAGATAAGTTGACAAATATATAGAAATTGAATTTTAGATGTTAGTTGTATAATTTTTTTTTTTTTCACATACACACTCAAGCGCCCGCATAACGCAAAAGGCCTCTTAGTTGAAAGACAAAAATCTCAACCACTAAACTAGGTGACTTGCATAGGTGTTTAGATATGTAAATACATAAGAATTGAGTGGAATGCATATAAATCTTTCTTCCTAAAAACAAGATGAAAATATCTGGGACTAAGATTCAGAACTTCATCATATTTTTTAGAATAAATGTGGGATGAAATAATGCACCACTAGTGTACTCCTCTAAATAGAACCTGCACAAAGAAGCCAGAGAACTATATCACATGCCCCAAACACCACGAGCTGTGATGACTTTACTGCTCGGCCTCGAGTTCAACTCGTACAAAATTCGCGCAAACGTATCAGAATATTTCCCGTCGGACATGAGGATCTCTGCAAAAGTCGTCTCATGATAAGCAAGATGTGCTCTATTCTGTGGTTCAGAAACAAGACTTTCCAGCACCAGTGCAGCCTTCCTACAGACCTCCGGAACCGGATGTGGAGCTTTCACCAACTTCAATATTCTGTCTATAGCCCTGGAACAAATACAGATTTCATATATACCTGATGGGTGGTACAGGTTGGAAGCATTATATATTTACATAGAAGGTTCCGTACCACCGCTCGCTAGCAAGCTTTAGCCTGCAATCAATGTTCACTTCGACGAGATTGTAGAGTGCACCAACAGCAGCTGCTTGCCCATCCACTGCGGATACACCGAGAAGATCAACCAGACGCTTACAGATCTGAAATCCAAAAATTAGTTGCTCCCACATGTTCGAGTTATATAGAAACATTCAACAATGAACATGTCAAATTTCTACAACAACAACAACAATAAGCCTTTTATCCCACTAAGTGGGGTCGGCAACATGAAGCTTTTTTCTCCGTTGTGTCTTGCTCCGTTGTGTCTTGTTGAATGTCATATTTTCATTTAATTTTAATAAATTAAGATCATTTTTTATGTAAACCTATCATCCATAGTTATGCAAAATATGAGAATAAGTCGAAGGTTCTTCATCGTTACTTCAAATATAATTATGAAAGCTTTATGCGATGGCTAAGGCTCTGTCTGAAGAGTAAAATTTAACCATAGTGGACCCCAAACCTCATAACCATATTAGGGACTCCTGGATCTTGACACTCAAAGCATGTTCACTTTAAGGGCATAACTGAGTAGAGAAGCTATAAGAATCTGCAGTAATACCAGAAAATCAGCCAGTGTTCTTTTACAGACAACTGATTAATCAAACCGCAATACAAGCATTGAACATTGGACAAAAAGCAATGATACAAAAGCCTGGTCATCAATTAAAATTAATTTATTTAATCTCATTTAAATCATTTAAAATGATACAAAAGCCTGGTTAACAGTATATAATTTCTGGGTTTTTCCACCAAAGACCAATGCCAGATAGTGCTTTTCTAATTTAAATTATTTAATCTCATTCAAAATTAGTAGGTTAAGACAATAGAATGATTCCTTGCTATTATTGACCCATTTGAATCTTATGTTCTTCTTGGCTTTTACAACAAATGGTTAATAATTACCTAACAAATTAGAACGAAATATTACTGGAAAGTGAGTTTACCATAAATGATCTGAGCGAATAAAATGCAAGGGAACCTCACGCAAGAATTGCTTTGAAGTTTGATGAATTGGTTCAGATATCAAGATGTTGAGCCACAAACTTAAAAAAACTTCCAAAAAAGTTATAGTCATTTTATAAATTGGAAAGTGAGTTGCCCCAAATTCAAATTTACATTGCAAAGTATTTGTATTTAGTGATGCAGATGCTGTACAGAGATCAAAGAAATGATATTCAAAGGACTTGCTTTCGTCCAAAAAATGCCCATCAATAGATAAATCTAACATTTAGAAGATCAAAGGGAATCGCCTTCTAAGAATATCGATTGAAGTTCTAGATATTGACCATCTTCATCCTCTAAAGTTATAGTCATTTTATTGTATCAGATAATACATCTACCTATAAGATGTTGCAAAGCTATGTCGACTATTGAGATTTGAGAATTAACGAAAAAAAGTCATCATTTAGACAAGCCATATTTAGGTCACGGAAATTTGTACTAAACATGAAATTGATTATTCTGCTTCCAACCAAAAATGAAGTTAGCAAATCAAGTTGAGTATATACTTTTTCTTGAATTAATCCAACATCAATGAGATTATTTGTCTTTGCTATCACTTATTACTCAATCTCTAACCCCGTTCCTCTAGGGGGAGCTATTTCACAAATATTGCATCAAACATGAAAATAAGTTTAAGTTGTTATTAATGAAGGGAGGTTGTTATTTATGGAGTGAAACCTTTCAACTCAATGCAACTCCAGGTAAAATCATGATACTCCTAAAGAAATTGAATTAACAAAGTAACATCATCTTTAAAAAATAATATTCTAATAAATGTATATAGGGAATCCTCCCATGATCCAAAGTTAACTCAGCACAATTCATCAACAATGAATCACCAATCATTTTTAAATTACGCTAAGCATCTTGAAATTATAGTCCCCATTAAGTTACTCCTTAGCAACTTTTGAGATATTGGTGGCTTAGGATAGCAACATGATTACTATTAACTTGTGCAGATACGGGACAAATTAGTGTCACACAACTAGTCACATTAACCAACTTATTTAGCTCACCATTTAAATGGAAAGAAACCTATGGGCAAATATGTATCCAACCAAAGGTGGCATGTAGTAGAGACAAAACAAGATTATATTTATTTTTATTAATTGGAATCATATTTTGCTAGCCTTTTGTGAGCCTAGCACTAGAAAATAAAATCACATGTTTCAAGTGTTTTCCCTTAAGAGCTACATAGAACATCCCCATATTGACCATCAGCCCTGAAGCTATGGGAGTTAGGTCTTTCAATAAATTAAAAGCAATTGGAGTGAACTTTATGCTGGAGCTTTCTTCTATTAGAGTTTGCAATGATCGTGCTCAATTACAAAGTATTCTTTCACTTAACAGACACAAATATGGAGGCATCCCGCCATAACTTAAGCTTTTTAGCCTGACTTAAAATTCATTTTATTCATCTTTGAAAAGGAAAGAGCTACTTCCTTGGCTACAATCACTTCATTGTTGAAAGATTTAATCGATGATTGCCTGGGAGAGGGGTCCTCAAATTTTGACTTATTTCCCTTTTGGCTCTTCTTCTACCTTGTTTGTCCACATTTCCACCTCAGTATGGTATGGGGAGTACTGGCAACAACAGTCAGAAGCTCTAAACTACCTTTTGAAGCCAGGTAGAAGACCTAAAAAATTATCCTCATCTTACTTGTAAGAAAAGTAGTGCTTTAAGTCATACAAACTAATCTCATGCATTACAAATATTTTTGCATAACCATATGTAGTATACTCCATCTCTGTTGACGTTAAAAAAAAAGTATTCTTATTAATATAGTTAATTATTTTAATTAATTTTAATTAATATTGATTAATTATATTAATTAATATTAAGTCCTCACACATGTTCCCGATCCCGCTTCAACTTAGATTCGATAACTGCTTGCAATTCTATTCAAGTAAAAGCCGCACGACAGTGCCGTAACTGAGTGGCTTTTACTTGAATAGAAGTTCGAATAATTTACTGAATCTGAGTCAAAGCGGGATCGAGAACATATGTGAGGAATTAATATTAATTAAGTTTATTTAAACTAATTAATATTAATTAAGTTTAACTAACCTAATTAACAATATTAATATTTTTTAAAACGTCAGCAATCTCATAACATTCACACTTCATCCATTGATGAAGCATTGAAAGAATGATCTCATATTCATGGATCCTGAGCCTACTGATCAAGCAATTGAATGAAGTAATCTAAAGTCTATATATAACTTAGAACTTTACACTGTTCCCAATTTACCAAAAGAAAAAGGAAAAATGATAAAAATTCATATATTATCACCTTGTCCATTACATCCACACAATAGAAGCTAATATAAGCTTAACTTCTATGTATAAATAATAAGTAAGCTAAGGTTTTCATATTCATAATATTGACCGAGGTCCCAAGATCTCCCAAGATAAAATTCAATCTCATCCTAATGACAATTGTTGTAACCTATGGAGACAAATTGTAATATAATAGGTACCAATCTAGGGCTCCTAAATGGCATTTGGGAAGCAGATTTTGTGGGAAGGTGGTTCTGAAATGGCAAGAGAAGCATTTGGGGGGTGGGGTGG